TTTAAGGTGCCACCAGACTCCTTGTTGTTTTTTGTAGATACAGACTAACACGGCTACCCCCTGATACTGTGAAAATTAGGTTATTTATATTTTTCATTAAACTAATGCAGATATTTCCCACATTCTCCACAAAATTTCACCTGGATGCTCTTTCTTTTTGCCTCATGTTTGCTGTTGTCAACAGCTCCAGTTGACTAGAGAATAAAGCTAGTAAGTTCTGCTTCATGTGGACCCTTCTGAACAGGAGCTGTGGGAGCTCAGGTTGCAGTAGGTGCAGCTATCAGTTCTGTGAGTGGGTCATTCAAGCAACATGTTAATGGTACTTCTGAGAAATATCTCACAACAGGCAGTGCTGACTGTCCACTGACTGAACCCCATAACCATATGGAGGTTATGACTCCAGGACTAGCCACAGCAGTCAGTGTCTCCATGGCTCTGGTGAAAATATCTGCTGGGACTCTTGTATCTGGGTATCTGCTGGGAATCTTGTAGGTGTGAGTTGTTTTGGGGTTAACTCACTTTGTGTGTTCATTTTAAATGTTCCCACGTATACATCTGTGACACTTCACCAGTTGCACCCTGGCAGTTTTCATTCTATTTAAACATCCCATATCACATTCCCCTCTTTTGACACTCTGCACTTGTGAATGTGGAGCCTTTATCGGAGGAAATCATTCCTAGAGCAACAGGCAGCCCAGCATTCGCAAACTTTAGTACCTCAGGTTAGTGTTCTTGTTCCAGGGGTGCTGAGCTACCTGCAGCTCCACTGATCTCAGCAACACTGAAAATCAGGGTGCTCATTTAGATGTCCAACTTTTCTGCACCCAGGTTTGGAAATGATGGCTTTAGCCCAGTCTCACTGTTAACAAACTTGGGACTGAAACTTTCTCTACATGAATATTCATGCTGAACTCTGATTCTCTTGTAGTTGAACAGATTAACTTTCCAAAGAGCAGGTATCGGTGGAGTCGCTCATTTCCTGTGTCCAGAGATTTACCTTTTTAAAATAAAAACCTTGCAGTGTTTGAAATGGAATTAGAGTAACTCAAAAGGTTCCTTTTGTAAAGACACTTTACTGTGTCCTTACTGGACTGTAGCTGTTTTGTATAGTACCGTGCCTGTATTTGTTGAATGATGAAAAGCCTACTTGTTAAGCATAAAAAGAATGGACTATGAATGATATACACATGCTCATGCACACAGTGGTGCATTTATTGTTTGCTTAATTTATGCAGTACTGGCAGGTTGCTGATAACTGTATCTCTGACTAATGAAAGATAACAAGCTTTAATTGGGAAATAGGTCCATGCTTGTTTCTGCCTCCTATCAATTGTGTCTATGATGACAGGGTACAAAGGAGATAATGTCTCTTCACCATCCATTTATAGCTGGGTTACAGAATAGAAGTGATAAAATTGCCAATGATGAACATAGACTGAACATCCTGCCAGACCATCTTAATGACCTACCTAGAGATCGATTCCTGCAACGCTCACTCTACAAGGAGACTACGTCCATTTGGGATTTACCAGGATGAGGATGAAGAGAAAGGTAGAACATGCTCCAAGGGCTGGAAGTTGAAGCTAGACAATTTCAAACTGGAAATAAGGTGTTAATATTTAACAGGGAAAGTAATTGCCCTTTGGAACAATTTACCAAGGGTTGAGGGGTATTCTCCATCACAGGCAAGTTTAAAATCAAGGCTGGATGTTTTTTGAAAAGCTCTGCTCTAAGAGTTATTTTGGGGCAGGTCTGTGGCCTGTGTTATACAGGAGGTCAGGCTAGATGATCACACTGGTCTCTTCTGGCCTTGGAATCTACCATGATGATACAGAACCTCTTTTTCTGATGAGGAAATTAGACACATACCCAGAAAGTTTATGCTAAACGGCAGAGATGGCTAAGCTTTCTAAATAGAGCTCACTGCAGCCATGATCACCTTTAAAATGAAGGTATGCCCTATGGATACTAACAATCCCAGCATGCACTGGCCCCCTCTTTATCTAAGCAGAAAAGGGTCTGTATAGCTGCAAGCCAGCCTTTGGGGTGACTGACTGCTGTGTGCCGAACTCTGAGAAGTGTGTTTGCTCCAAGAGTGGGTCCTTGGTCCTCACGCTCCACCCAGGACCCTGCAGTGTTATGTTTACAAAGGAAACCTTGGAATCATAGAATATCAGGGTTGGAAGGGACCTCAGGAGGTCATCTAGTCCAATCCCCTGCCCAAAGCAGGACCAACACCAACTAAATCATCCCAGCCAGGGCTTTGTCAAGCCGGGCCTTAAAAACCTCTAAGGAAGAAGATTCCATCACTTCCCTAGATAACCCATTCCAGTGCTTCACCACCCTCCTAGTGAAAAAGTTTTTCCTAATATCCAACCTAAACCTCCCCCACTGCAACTTGAGACCATTGCTCCTTGTTCTGTCATCTGCCACTACTAAGAACAGCTGAGCTCCATCCTCTTTGGAACCCCCCTTCAGGTAGTTGAAAGCAGCTATCAAATCCCCCGTCATT